AAAAAAAACCACACGTTCTAGCTCAATTCTGACAGTGGATTTGAATTCAGCAGAGTCTTTTACATAAAAATGTACTATTTGATGTGGAAATAAATTTTTTTCCAAATTTTCCCAGTAAATTTTCATCAATTTTCACTATTTTTCACAAGTTTTTTGAGGTTAGAAAAAAATTGTGACGTGATGGGCCAATTCTGACCCTAGATTCGTGTTCAGGAGGCCAAATTACTACGAAAAATATATGTCGCATAAAAAGTATACCAACTTTTTTTTTGTGTGTGGCTGTGATTATTTAGTCGTCTCAATCAGAACTGAAAATATGATGCCAAGTAACAAAAATTGGTTTATTGAGTGGTAAAGTTCTGTTTAAATTAAAATTGTTGTATCTACAGCGATTCGTTAATCACGTATAGCTTTGCAAATATGTAGTTAAAATTACCTTTTAACTGGTTACACGAAAAACTTGTATAAATTATAAATGCATGTATGTAATTAGATATGTTATTTGTGCAATTATTTGTATTTAGACATGGTCGTAAAATATTGCGCTAAAATATTAAACACGTTTTTTCTCCACTAAAACCAGAAAATTTTTGTATAAGATTTTTTTAATGCACCTTATTATTAAGTTGTTTAATATTTTGAAAAACTGCAAATAAAAACTTCTATGATCAGTTTTTATTGAATAAAGCTCAAGGTTTCAACGTTTTCATGATATTTTTTGCAAATACATTTTGTTGTCTAGGGTACTAAATTGAAAAAAAAAAAAACACTTTGTTGAAAAAAAGTTAAGCAAAAATAATTTTAAAGTATCTCCACAAATTAAATTAAGTATTTTGTATTATTTTTATGACCTCCAAATTGATCAAGAAATTTGGGACAATTAAACGAGTTTAAACTTTTTCAGTACATAAGTTACCTAAAGTACATTCATAAATTTAAGAGAATAACTACAAACCGTGGAGGTCATAAAACTAGCAAAGGGTCTGAACAAGTCCATACTGATTTCAATAATTTATTTCCATTTTTATTACTCATGACAGATAAGTAGGTACTATCCCCTCGCATGTTTTTTAGGTCGTACAGACTCGAAATAGTATATTGCGCAATAAGTGTGGTAAGTTGTCTATTGCCCACGAGAGCGGAGTAGAGCTTATCCGCTTAAGTGGGCAACCGCACGAATTGCACATACTATTTTTTCTTACGAATGTAATGAGTCGAGGAGCGAAGCTCCGGTGTGGTCCACATATTTTTATTCAGTTCAAGTTAACATAAATAACTGTCATTTAAATGTCACTTTTTAAAAATAATATTTTCGAGTGTGTAGGTATTTAAATTTTGCGTGTTTTATTGGCAATTTGCGTGCGACAATATTACCGCACGCAAATAAATAGAGTAGGCAAACAGCTAGTTACCGACCTAAAAAACATGCGAAAAGATAGGACTTATCCGTCATGAGTAATAAAAATATTATTTGTAAAAAGTGACATTTAAATGACAGTTATTTATGTAAACTTAAACTGAATAAAAATATGTGGACCCCACTGGGGCTTCACACTGCTGGACTCTAAGATTTCGTCGCATTCGTAATAAAAAATAGTATGTGCAATTCGTGCGGTTGTCCATTGCCCACTTGACAACTCCGCTCTCGTGGGCAATGGACAACTTCCCGCACTTATTGTACAATATACTTAGTCCATTGAAAAGTTACATTTGGGGTTGCAAAAGTCAGAGCACGCAATTTTATTTTTTGGATGTCAAGAGGGGGTTAGTGTAAAGTTAAATCCGTGTTTGTGGAGTCGCAACCCTTGTGCCTCGGACGCTATCTTGTAAAAAGGGCTGCGAATGGTTTTTATACTACTACTTACTATATCGGGCAAACTATTCGTCCCACAGAAAATTTGTAAATACATTTTTTGTTGCAAACTAAATTCTCTACAACTGTGGTAACTTTTAGTCGTAGAACCAAAAATAACAAAGTTATTAACGAAATTAAATAAAAATTTGGTTACAAATTTTCTTTTGGTCGTTATAACTTTTTTCTGGTCATTTTACAAAAAAATACGACAGAGCATTTTGATAGAGGGGTTTTCAAGGAATAGTTTCCATTACAAACTTTTTTCAAATTTTATTTATT